TAACATGCCTGATGGAATAAACAATTTGATTCCAGTATAAGCAATGAGTGATTTGGGAAGCCTTGGCCTTTGTTTTCAGCTGAATCAGCAAGTCTTTTTTGAATTTACTGAAAATTTATCTCGAAATATGCAAATTTATCTCGAAATATGCTGCAAGACCTAAATAAATGGTCACTAATAACATGCTTTTCAAGTTTAACAATGAATTATTTAACCATCACTGTTACTTGTGTCAATTATGTAAAAAATGCCTACATGCTGAACAGGTTAATCAAAATTGTTGTTTGTAGCTGTCAACCTTGTCTTTTATTGACAAATGTCAGCATATTAAAGGGTAGTTAAGCCTAATGTTCGTGTTTAGTTCATGAAAATCTCCAGAAACCTCGTAGCTATGTTGCTTCATCAGGCATCAACTATGTCTAATCGAAAGCTAAATTATTATTTTTTTTTCTTTCACCACAAGGGCACGGAGCTTGATGTCAATTTGCTCAAGGAAAAATCATCTGATTATGCATTGGCCAAGGAAATTGCCCTTAAAGGTATAAGTAAAATCCTATTTTCTTATAGTACATGAATTTATCAATATCGAAGCCAAGCACTTTCACTCTATTTTCTTATCTTTGCTGTGAATATTTCACTTTCCATAAATAGTCGATCGAATTATACATATTGTTTGTTTGCAATAAAAACTTATCAAAAATATGAAACTTTTTGTTGCTTTGAAACTCATTTCACGCTTTCCACACATTGAATTTTGACATGAATTTCTTTTAAAGAGGCTGGCCAAGTGATAGACGTCGAAAATATAAAGCACATAGTTGAAAATAAGAAAGTGATAGGGGAGGTTGTGGAGAAGGCTGCTACAGATTGGAATTCGGAGAAAGAAATGCTGTATGAAAGAACAGGTCTTCCGGTTGCTTTACCTCAAGACAACGAAGAAGAAGAAGAGAACGAGTATGAAAGGTACAATCAGAATATGCAAAATGGCAATAAAGAAGAAGAAGCTGATACTTTTGGTAAGGAACTAGAAGTTTTATTAACAAAAGAGGGCTAAACATTCTTGGGAAAACACATAGTATATAATTAGTGGGCATTTTACGGCATTTTGTGTGGGTCATTACTTTGCTCTATTTGTATTATACTAGTAATGTACACGTGCAATTAGTAGCTCGGCTCGAGTTTGTGGGCTTAACGAGCTGAGCTCGAGCTCATTTAAAACTCGTTTGGCTAACGAGCGGAACTCGGGTTGATAAGGTTTGTTAAAGCTCGAAAATAGAATACTTATATAATATATAGTTTGGCTCGTTAAAGCTCGAGATGGCCCGGTAATGATCGAGCTTGGGGCCTTTAACGAGCCGAGCTTGAGCTCGATTTCAGGCTCGTTTTTTTAACCAGTCAACCTCAGCTCGGCTCGTTAAGGGCTCGAGCTCGAGCACCCTAAGTCGAGCTAAGCTCGTTTACAGCCCTACGTGGGATGCACGTGGTGAATGGTTTTTGGCTAGTTAAGTTTAGTGTCATAAATTAATTAATGTATTAAACCAATTACTGTGAGTTGCATTTAAAATTAATTAATGTATTAAACATAATAGTATAATACTTATTCACGCATAGAATGAGGTATGTGACTATCTGTAGTTACTTTGACTAAAAAGGAAACAAGGAATAATTATCATAATCTAATCTAACGGTTCAGATTCATTGACGTTTTGTCCCTACCTCTCAGTAGGAAATCAAAGGTGAGTTAAATGGCTTTTGTCCCTCTTTTGGCCGACACATGTTATTTTCATTTCATAAATGTTCCCT